CCGCGGCACCCCGCAGGGCAGGGACGGGCCCCTGTCCCCGTCCCCCCGCCCCAGCCGGCTCAGGGCCGGTCCCAGCCCTGAGGGACCCTCCCGCCACCGCCGGAGTGCGGACGCCATTGAGAACCGCGTTGCCATGGCAACCCCCCCTCCCGCCCCAGGGGCCTCGCCACAGCGGGCCGGCAATCCCCGCGCCCCCCGCGCCGCCTCACGGCCCCCGCACGGAGGATACAGCTTGAAGCCGCGGAGGATCTCCTTGGCCCGCTCGTCCGTGGCCGACATGGTCCTGCCGCGCCGCGGGCGGGCGGACGGGGCTGGGCCGGGCCTGGCGGGAGCGCGGCGGTGACAGCGGAGCCTCAGGACCCCCCGCCCCTCCCTCCCGCGCACCCGCCACTGCCCGGCGCAACCAACCCCAGCGGCCGCCAGCGGCCGCCCGCCGCCGCGCTGACCAATCAGTCGCTGCCGTCCCCTCCTCGCCCCGCCTTCTGCCGCAAGAATGACAGCGCCACTGGCCAATCAGACAGCGCTCTCCCTCATTCAAGGGTGGGTGCGCAGCGGTCGCCGAGACACTTCGGTTGGGCCTGACGTGGCCGCGATGGAGGCGCCGCAGGATGACCGGGCAGGGGGAGCGGGCGGTCCCCGGGCCCCGGAGGCCTCAGCGGGGAGCAGCCGAGGGGGTGAGAAGCCGCCCCGGGCCTAGTCAGCGGCGGCCCAACGGCCCCGAGGCGCTGGAGCTTGGCTGGCGCTTCTCCCCAGGCAGTGGGGGTCCCGAGGTTTCGTCTTTGGGGCTGCTCGGCGGAGCTCCCCCCTTGAACTCGGCTGGTGCTGGGGACCCGGGTGCTCAGACCCGGAGCAGCTTCTGCTGGAGACCTTCCGACCCCACCTGGACGAGGTCTGTGTCACCTGCTCCAGGTGACCCTGCCTTGGCAGGGGGTTGGGCTGGATGGTCGCCAGAGGTCCCTCCCAAGCCTTGCAGTTCTGTGACTGTGCGTGTCCCGAGGCCGGAGCCAACAGGAGCAGCATTGTGGAGAAGGTTTAAGATAAATAGTGTGCTACCCCCTGGAACAAAGGCAGCCTTCTTTGTGCTGCAGAAATTTGAATCACAGATCAGCTTGAGTTGAAAGGGACTTAAAGACCATCCAGATGGCGTTGACCACATCCAGGGATGGGGCATCCACAGCTTTGCCAGGCAACCTGTGTCAGTGCCTCAGCACCCTCACAGGAAATAATTTCATCGTTATATCTAATCTAAATCTGCCTTCTGTCATTTTGAAGCCATGCCCCTTGTTCTGTCACTAGAACTCTATTGCCTTGTAAAAGTCCCTCTCCATCTTTCTTGTAGAACCCCTTCAGGTACAGAAAGGCCTGAATCATGTCACCCTGGAACCTTCTCCAGGCTGAACAATGCAAATTCTTCCAGCCTTTCATCAGAGAGGTGCTCTAGCCCTCTAATTATCTTCATGTTTGTGTAGCAGAGTTGATTGTGGGGGGAAAAGTCTCAGGTTTGTTAACACATCCCACGAGCCAGGCTGCTCTTTAACATGAGCAAATTAACCCCTCTCTTAACCATCTGAGTGCAACTGATAAAAGCATTAAGTCATGGTAAAAATAAAGCCAGCAGTTGTAACCCAGTCCTCAAATGAGGACCAGTGAACAGTCAGGGTGCCATCAATACACTCACTCATGGCTCCACTTGCCTCCAAATCACCCACTGTACTAAAGCAGAGAATGTGAGTGTTAATAAAGGCTGCATTTAATGCAGAAGGGCAAGGCCACTGCCAGTATCACTGACAAGAGATCTTAATAATAAAAATAGGCAGCATTTATTTTCCTGATGTATGTGATCCATGCTCAATTTCCCACCATCAGTTTAAGTGTATGAAGGGGTCATTTTGAGTCTGGGCAGAGTGCCAGGGGTGAGCTGGGCAAATATATAGACCTATATTTTGTGAAGAGTCCATCCTGGATTTTAGCTAGGCTGTGGAATTGCATGCTGTCTGAAGAGGAGGGACTAAAGATCACTGAGGAGAAACGACTGATGAGGAGAAAAGGCAAGCAAGACAAAAGCAGACCTGGAAAAGGCAGAAACAAATGGCTGTATGTAGGAAATGAGCCTGCCAGGTGGAAGTAGGACATGCTGGTTTACAGAAGTTGTAAGAAACTCCGTCCTGTCTCCATTCAAGCTCCTCAGAGATGAAGGAGCCAGTGACCAAATGGATCTCATAGAAAGGAACTCTTGCAGCTTTGAGGGGCTTCTCTAGCACAGGGGTAGGGATGTCTGTGGAGTTTTGAGTTGGAGCCTTTGCGTTTCCTGGCCAAGTCTCAGAATTCCCAAAGTTACCTTGCTGTGCTGGGAGGCACAGGCCTCTCATTCATGAACTTCTGAAAACCACAGAAGAGCTCATAGCTGAAGTGTGAAGCTCCTGTGACTGGTGCAGGGCCAAGCAGCCATGGAACACGTGACAGCACAGCTCAGAGTGACAAAAACCCTGGGATCTCTCACAGCCCTCGGGCTGCATTTACACAAATAGCACTTGAGCACATTGTCTTAAAAATCTCCTTGCAAGAAAATTGCTGCAGCTCTTGGCACCCTCTATCCTTTGGTGCCATTTGGAACTGAAAACTTTTCCTTCACATCTCTGGCAGGTGTGGCAGCTTCTGAGCTCACTGCAGGTGAGAAGATGCCTCCAGCCTGTTTTCTGCTTCTCCAGCAGCTGTTCTCAAGGTGCAGGTAAAGGAGCTGGTGTTTCTGCAGAGCAGCATAACTGGGAGATAGTTTAGTAAACCAGGGTTTCATCCCACCCCATGCTTGATGGAAGAGGTTGTAAACTTCACATCTACAACCACCCAGACATCGCTCCTTGCCTGGCTGAGATGAGAGTCCAGCAAGCAGCTTAGTCCCTGGATCCTGGGAAATAAAGAGAGTTTGGAAACTTTTCAGTAGGGCCTGGGAGCTGCCCTCCACCATGCTCTGGAGGTGTGTGCTGCTGCAGGGAATGAGGATGAATGGATGTGCACACACAGGTGAGTAACAAAATATAAGGAAAAGTACAAGAAACACAAAAGTGTTTTCACTGTTGGCCCTCTCCTTGGTGAGGTCAGGTGTCCTCAAAGTCTGGGGGTCCAGGACCCCACTGCTTGGGGACATTACTGTGGCAGTGCAGGGAAATAAGGTGAATTATTTGCTGCCTAAAAGGGACCTGGACTGTGGAATCACAAGGGGAAGAGGTGGGGTGAGTCAAGAGATAATGCCAACATTAAAAGATAAAATGGATTAACATCTCCTGGCACACAGAGAGCTGCGTGGGTGGAGCAAGAGGTTGCAATAGCTGTTTAAAAGGGAATGAGACAGCTGGACATACACATATTTTTCCTCTTAAAAACAAAAATCCATCCCAAAACCTGAGCTTAGCTGATGCTGTCCTCCAAAGTCCAGGTCAGTCAGCCAGGCTGGCTGTCTGCAGTTGGGAGTAATCAGGACAGGGACTCCTGGCTGACCTACATGGGGCTAAGAGATGATTTTTACCACAGGCTCTAGCAAAAGGCTGCAGAATCCGTGGAAAATAGCTCACAATCATATATTTCCATTTCTATTTCAGCCTGGAATTCGAGCTTTAGCAAGTGTTGGGAAAAAGGAGGCCACGCTGCTTGTCCAAGGCAACTGTTCCAGCATGTCTGCAGGATGACAGGAACCCTGGGGAAGGGCCTGGTTAGGATGTGATTAAAGAGGTAATTCTCCCTCCCTGTGCAGATGAGGGCTAAGTGTGGCTTAAGTAAATTACTGCCTGGCTTGTTATAGCCCTGGCTGAGTTCCCTTGTTGCGCAGGGCCTGGTTTTTTACATCCAATTTGCTTTGAAGCCCAGAGTGTCACAACAGCATTCCAACACCTGCATCTCTGCACTTGTCTGACACCCCCTCTCTGATGGATGATGGCACCCTAGGGACATGCTGTAGATGGCTCTGAGACACTGGCTAAGCCCCGTCAGTTTCCCTAATAGTTTCTGATGTTCATTCCTTGAAAGATCCCCCCTCCTGACCATGCTGGTCCATGATTTGATCTTCAGGGACTTGCTGACTGAAAGCCAGAAGCACTTTGCTCTCAGCTGAAGGATTTTTAACAGAGGCACATTTTATTCACAACATGGCATGGATGAGCCTACAAACCTTGGGGAGGTTGACAACCCCCAACTTTCTCTTGTACAACCCCCAATTCCCTCTTGTTTCCACCCTCATTCTGATACCCTTTCAAGCTTCTTTTCGCTCCTGATCTATGCCCTGGGGAGGGTTTAACCCTTCCAGTCCCCTTCCTGCTCCCCCATGTCACAGCCAGAGCTCTGCCCTCTGGTTTATCGTTTGCATGGACCGTTTTTCTATGGAGTTCAAAATCAGTTCTATCTTCACTCCATCTCTTGCTGTTTCCCTGGAGGACTGGCCCAAGAGGCTCAGCTGGTAGAATCATAGAATATCCTGAGTGGGAAGGGACTCACAAGGGTCATGGAGCCTAACTCCTGTCCTTGCACAGGACAGCCCCAGGAATCCCACTGTGTGCCTGAGAGTGTTTCCAAACACTCCTTGAGCTATTGGGGCTGTCATCACTTCCCTGGGGAGTCTGTTCCAGTGCTCTGTGCAACCATTCAATCTAATACCAGCCCCACTTCTCATAACGAAGTGGCCTTACAACAGCAGCCCTTTGCACGGCTTATGTTGGGGTGCAAACCCCAGTGATGCTGCCACAAGGGTACCCCCTAAGAGAGAGGCAGGAATTTTACTTGCTTATGCTAGAAAAGCTGCTCCGCTGAGTCCCGAGCAACTGTTCCAGCATAAGCGAGTGAAGTTTGCTCCATGGGCTGCTGGGCCGTGGCTCTGCAGGTGCCAGCACAGCCAGCCCGCCGTTCCCATCCCGCTATCCCAGGGATGCCGGGCCGCGGCTCCCGCTCCTCGCGGCCCCCGGGGATCGGCCGGAACGTTCGGCGCGGCCCCGCGTTCCGGGGGGGAAGGAGCCGCGCGGACACCGGTGCCGCCATCATGGCGGCTTGAGGCGCGGCGGGTTCGGCGCCGGGAGCGGCGGGACGGGAGGCCGGGAGCGGAGAGGTAATGTCGGGGCTGGGAGAAGCCTCCCGGGAACAGGGGCGGCGGTGGGGGACCCTCAGTGTGTCCGACCCTGCGGCAGGGCTCGGTGGGGCCCGAGGGCTCTGCCTGGGGTCTGGGGAGAACGGCAGGGCCGGGAAACCCCCGCCTTCCTGCTGCCGGGTCTGCGGGCCGCTTCCCGCCCTGAAACTCCCTGAGCTACCTTAGAAAGGCCTGACCGCGAAAGAAGCCCAGCTTGTCCTTCTGCTTGGGTTGTTGTAGCCTTTGGACAAGCTACGTTGGAGTGTCGGCTGTATTTCAGCACTTCTCACCGGGGTAAGTCGGTTGTGGAAGCAGCGAGGTATTCCCTGTGACACGGGTGTGCACACAGGTTGCAATAGCACCGCGGTTGTCCGAACATTTACTTGGAAAGGGGCAGAGAATTGGCATCTCTTTCCCAGCAGGGCATGGCTACAGCCAGCCAGTCTTTTGTAACCTCATACGCCAGCGTGTGGTTTGATTACCTGTGAGGGAGCACAACAGAACTGTGAAATCTGAATCTCATTCCCAGCACAGTCAGGCCGTATTCTCTCGTGAGGAAATTGTCCTCCCTGTGGGCAGAGGGAGCACACTGGTGAGTTAGGCAGGCACACTGACTGTTGTGTAGTGCAGGGATTCTCAGAGCTGAGGCGCTGCTCAGCCAGGCTGCACGTGTGCCTCCGGTGGAAAGAACCCCAGAGAGACTCCGGGGGCTCAGATATCTCAGTGTGGAGAGTGTTAAAGGTTGCCCTCTAAAGCTGAGACCATTTGTACTTGCAGGTGTAATAGAACAAAGTAAAGTGTATTTTTAGAAGTTGACTAATACAGGAAGCTGTGGTGCCTTCACAAGCCTTAATTTGGTTAGGCCTGGTGAAACAGCAAAGCCCCTGTGTGACTGTGCTGCCCCCACAAGGGTGGATGTGGGCCCAGCCCCTGTGGGTCACACAGAACAAACAGGTTCTCTGTGTTTGGTTTTCATCAAGGTTATACCCTCTGCTTGATAATTATCCCATACAAACATAACACAAACCCTCCCTTATCTGCTAAGTTCTGTGTTTGGTTTCTGAATCACATGCTTGGGAAGTTTTGTCTTAGTTGTTTGTAAACAAACAGCTCATTTTGTGGAACTTGTTAATAAATAGTGGTTTACATTTCAAAAGCAGCATGTTGGTGCCGGGAGACAACATGCACACCAGAAATGTCAGGCAGCAGCTGAAGACAAAGACCTCTCTTTACAGGGACTTGAGTAGAGCCTTTGTAGAAAGGGTATTTTTATCACTTAAGCTTCCCAGCTAACCCCCAACACTTGAACTGCACAGTGCAGACAGGGGAGCTGCTTGCAGGCCCCAGTTCTTTTGCCTTTTGGGCTGAGAAAGCAATGGGAATTATGGAAACACACTGTGTCAATAGCCAGAGTCAAGGGAAAAGGTGGGATGTGTGGGCATACAGTGTGCATCAGTCCTTCATGGGGAATTATGTTTGCTGGTTTGGAGCTGTGTAAGGAGGAAGGAGGAAGTCAATCAAGTGTATCAACAAGCATCTTTACAATTGGCATTATTTGGCAGCATCACTAGAAGGAAAAGTCTGAAAACAGCATGAAATCTAAACTCCTGTCTTCTAAGAAGGGATCTGCAAGAGCAGATCCTTTTAGGGAACTGCTCAGACAGAAATTTTGCTTAGAAATTGTAGGAGTTATCCTTGCTCCCCAGCTAAATCAGCAGTTGAACCTGCTGGGTTTTTGGCCTGGCCCCTGAATGCTGAAGAAGAGGCTGGCAGCTGAAATGTTGCTATGCTGAGCACCTTCTGGTCCCCTGCCAGGCAGAACTCAGCAGAGTAGAAAGGATGTGTTAATATTATGTTCTTTTACTGACAGATTGAAAACCTAGAATGGCAGGAGAACAGAAGCCATCCTGCAATCTTCTAGAGCAGTTCATTTTACTAGCCAAAGGAACAAGTGGCTCAGCTCTGACTGCTCTTATAAATCAAGTGCTGGAAGCTCCTGGGGTTTATGTCTTTGGAGAGCTGTTGGAGTTAACAAATGTGAAAGAGGTAAGAGTTGAGTTTTTATTCTAATGCCCCTTCTGCCCTACTGGTATAAGGGATCTCCAGAAGTTTCCATAGGCAGCCTGTGGGTGAAATTTCTGTACCAGGGATGCCTGTTGCAACTTACCTGGGTTGAGAGATGTGTTTGAATAAGAGGCTGACCTTGCTTTTGCCTGTATATGTTAGGTGTTAAAGAATACCCATCTAAAACTTTGCTACCTTAAGGCAATTGCTAGCACAGCAAAAACCTGGCAGCAGCACAGTAGCAGTTTTAAGAAGGCACTTTGGCAGCCAGCAAGGAAAAAAATCCCTTTCTACTTCTTTACTGTCCTGGAAAGCAGAACTTCAGTGCTCTCCAAAAGTCTTTGTGAGCAGATGTCTAGTGTATCAGGCCTGGGTGGTAACCAAATCCAAACCATTTCAAACCAAGGTGGAAAGCAAGTTCCAGAGCTTTTGCTGAGAGTGCTTTGCCAGCCCCTGCCTCTTCTGCAATGAAGGAATCTAAGTTGAGTATCTCTGCAGCTGGAGTAACACAGTGTACAGCAAGTTTGGCTTTCCAGGCAGGCTCTTAAATACGCATAAAAGCACCTCGATGGTTATTCAGCATCAAATCACAGGTGCTGGCTTTTTCCTGGGTTTGTGTGCAGCTAATGGTATTAAAAACCCAAGAAATAAAAATCACTGCTTGGTGCTGCTGTTATTCCAGTGAAGTGTTTGCAGGCGAGAGAAGAGCTGTTACCTTCCAATGCACTCCAGTTACAGCTTGCTTTGCTCTGAAGCTGTGGTGGCTCTGCAGGTAAGCTGTCCTGGCTTTCACAGGGTCCTCACCAGCCATCACCATTACCTGCTTGCTTATCACCTGATGACAGGAGCTGGCCCTGTAGGTTGTCAGCTGAAGTTAAGATTTGCTTTTTTCTTTTGCCTCCCAAGTTGCCACACAAAGCAGTTGACAGTCCAAACTGGAATTAAGTTCCAGTGCATAGAAATGGCTGGATCATCTTGACTGTAAAACTGCTGAAATTTCCTGCTCTTGAGGCCTTAGAAAGGGTCCAGCTTGGGTTATAATTGCTTTTCTGCTTAAGTTCTGTGCAGACTTAAACCATTCTCTGGAGAAGGTGCCTTTCAGGGTTGTGTTGCCCATTTTGTGTGACCTTTCTTTTCTCCCCATCCAGCTTGCTGAGGGGTCTAACGCTGCTTATTTCCAGCTGCTGAACCTGTTTGCATACGGAACCTACCGGGACTATGTGGGTAAGAGACTGCTGCCCGTTTGCAGAGGGTGGGACTGGGGTGCCCTTTAGGATTGTCAGAGGCAATTCTTTGCTTTCTTAGATACCTGGTGTAGTGTGGCTGGGTGAAAGCATCCAGGAACAGGAGTTGCTTAGGAAGATAATTGTCTGTAGTGGGGTCTGGGTCATGTGTGCTTTTTGGTTGCTAAAAATGAAAGGAAGGGTTAGAGACTCTGGGGTGCTGCTGGTTTGGATGGGACTGCAGCGCTGGGTTGAATTGGTCTGCAGCAGAATTCATTGATGTTCACAGGCCACTTACCTCTGTAGAGGGAGATTTCAGGCATCTCTATGGAAATTCAGATGACACTGGTTGTGGAAACTGCAGAAAACTTAGACAAAATTGTTCTGCATTATTTATAAAAACCTATATGGTTTGTGAGATAACCTTTTATTCCATGACGGCATTGCTGAAACAAAGTGAATAATTTCTTAGCTAGAATACCAGTTGAAATAATGACTTTTATACAGCTTTAGAAAGCCTATGTGTGAATCATCTTTGTATCTGTTGAAATGTGCTTTTATCTCCGGTGCTTGTGCTTCCATTCTGCTACAATTTAATGCTTCATTTGTGGGTAGCAGCCTCATCCAGACCATTACAGAGTGTGACAAATAATTCTGTCATAGTGCTGTTTCTCAGGGTGGTGGATGAGCTATCTAGTTCCTGTAAGGAGCAGTAGCATCTGTAAGTGCAAGGACTGGAAATTCCAGTGTCTGTGGAGCAACATGAGCCTCCTGAATTCTGTGACTGATTAGAGGATGTGCTTGCTGCCCATGGCTCTTGTGTCACTGTGTGGCAGCACAGTTCATTCTTCCTTTTCTAGTGAAGAAAGAGAAAGAGGGAAAAGGAGTCAAAATGCAGAGCATTGGATGAGGTGGGATGGATGGGAGAACTTGAGTGGCCCTGAAACACTAATTTCCATTAAAGTAGGTATTTTAAAGAGTTTCTTAGCTTTGGAGGGCTGCCAGTTTCCTTTTTCTTTTTAAATATTCATGAGGCACATGGATATAATACAGTGACAGTGTGGCCATCTAGATTAATGATTTCTCCTCTCTTCCTCAGCTTGGTACTTTGCACTTTAAATTCTGCAGCTCTTCAGAGAAATAAAACCAGCTGTATTTGCAACCAGATCAGCAAAGGGGGAAGATTTTTTTTCTGTCAGCTTGTTAATTAAATAAAAATTACTTAGTAGAAACAAAGCCATTGACCAACTGTTTTGGCAGGGCACCAGTTATGAATTGCCTTATAATTCCAGAACCAGAATTACTAAAGAAGCAGATAAGAATGGAATTGCCAAGTTGTTCTTAACTTTTCCCCTTCTCTCCCTGGTTGTGCCGGTTCATCTGCAGCAGCGCGCTCTGCTCACCAGCCAGCACCCACATTAGCCGGAGGCGCTCATGTTTCAGGGTGTAGTGTAGCATAACTAGCCTGGAGTTCTGCAGCTTGGATTATGTCATTTTCAAAGTGAAATCCTGAATCTTGTGTTTTTGACGTTAACAGCAAACAAAGATAACCTGCCTGAATTAACAGTGACTCAGAAAAACAAGCTGAAACACTTGACGATCGTAAGCCTGGCTTCCCGAATGAAGGTAAAGTGTGTGGGGTTTGACAGCTGCTGTCTCTTGGTTTTGTTTTAGAAAATGGCATCCACTCCAGAGCACTGGAGTTGTATCAGACTGCATGGGTACTCACAAAAAAATCCTGTACTGGGAAGGTACATGTAGGGTACAGTGTTCTCTCCTGGTGCATTTGGGATATTGACTTAGTAGACTTCCAGGGGTGAAGTGTGGGGGTGTCTGAACTGACATACAGATTGGTCAGGAAGGTCTGGGAAACTTCGTTTGGCTTTTTTCACTGCTGGAGATGGAGAATCATTCTTTAAAACACTGGCTTTTTGTTCTAGAGAAAATTATGCAACACTCCTAATTTCTTCTACAATCCCATTTACCTTTTTTCTTCTAGAAAGTGCTATACTATACCAAAGCTTCAGGAATTACCAAAGTTGTGTCAGAATATTTCATAGCCTGGCAAGCACTTGTTCTGTCATGATCAGTCACTGCTGCACCTGCAGGTCAAAGTGTAGGATACATTAAACTTTTGAGTCTCAACCTTTTGAGACTTAGCCATTCATTTTGCTCTAGGACTGTTACCTTACTCTTGGTCTTGCTGTTTTTAGTGCATTCCCTATTCTGTGTTGCTGAAGGACCTGGATATGAGGAATCTGAGGGAGCTGGAAGATCTCATTATTGAAGCAGTTTACACAGATATTATCCAAGGGAAGCTGGATCAGCGAAACCAGGTGTTAGAGGTGGATTTTTGTATTGGCAGAGACATTCAGAAGAAGGACATCAGTAACATTGTCAAAACACTCCAGGAATGGTGAGGCAGTCTCTCCACCCTCCTTGTTCCTTGTACATAGCTTGTCCTGTTTTCCCCCTGACAGTTTCAAGTGCTGGCTCAATTTTACCATGTTCCATTAATCAGGAGTCGTATGCTATAAGTAGGCACTTGGAGGAGGAGTCTGTTGGGCAAGTTTTCCAAGATCCCATCTGGGATTCAATTTGTGTTATGTATCAAGCCAAACTCTACCACATTGTGAGCTTCTGCTCTCACTGTAGCTTTTACATGGCAGAACCCCAGTGATGAGTCGAGGACTTCACAGAAAGAGGTGCCAAACTGGACTCATGGTTCTGTGGTGGGAGCTGCAGCACTTAATAATGAAGACAGAACTGTTACTTTTCAGCCTTTTTCACTGTGTTGAGAACTGTGTGGGCAAATTCTAGAGAATCACAGCTCTTTGGGTGGGATGTCTCTACAAGTTTGAAGTTTCAGGTGGCTTTGTCTTCTCTTTGTTTCTGCAAATGCAGCCTGTCTGCAACTGTAGTGGGACTGTGGTATTACCTCTTTGTGCCTTTGCCAGAAAGCTTTTCTCATCTTTTTGTAGGATTCCCTTCCCTTCTAAAGAAATTCCTGCATAGACTATGGTGCCCATGGCAGGTCCTGAGCTGACTGGGAATTGCTTCCTAGTTGCTATGGTAATGAGTGAAAAGTAATTAAACTGCTGGGCAAATATGCTGTCCTGTGGTGGGGACAGGTTTTTTGCTTCTCTGCTCCAACTCCCTCAGTCCCATCACGGTGGGAAGGCTCTGACAGCTTCCAGGACCTTGCAGCATTGTTTGGAAGTGAACAGTGAACCCACTGCCAATTCCCTTTTTGTCTTCCAGTTCTGAGTTCCATGCTGAGTGCTCTTGTCATTTGAACACTTAACAGGCAGGAGGATTATCTCAATATTACTTTTTTCTATGATTTTAAAATTTTGCATTTGAATACAATGTGTTGTATTCATCCTGAATACAGGATGTGTTGCATCCTGTTTAAGCTGTAATTCTGTCTGAAAAGGAAGATGAAAGGGCATTGAACCTGCACTTACTGTCTGATGGTAAGGGTAACACAGACTCTCTAGAGAGTGCTGAGAAATGCATCGAGTACACAGAAAAGCTTTTTCTTGCCAGCTTTTTGCAACTCTAAGCAGGAAGTATAAATTTAATAATCTCTTAAACTTTTAGATGAGCATGACTTTTCAGATTGCCTGATTGAGCTGCTCCAGGGAGAATTCATAAACACTGTTTGACATCATTTCTATCTTGCAGGTGTGATGGCTGTGAAGCAGTTCTTTTAGGAATTGAGCAGCAAGTACTTAGAGCCAACCAGTACAAAGAGAACCACCACCGAACTCAGCAGCAGGTAGAGATGGAGGTGGGTACAGAGTCATCTCAGGCCTCTATGCTGTTGGATAAATGTTTGTTTGCTGAAGGAAATAATCTATAGTAAATGCCTGGTTGATGGTCACGGCTCTCAGAAGAAGGCTAACAATCATGCAAATCAGGTAGAAAGAGAACACATCTGCTTCTGAGTGGCTAGTAAGACCACAAACATCACAAAGCATCAGCAGAGTGGAACTTCTATTGATAAATTTTTATAAATTTAGGCTAGGTAACTGCACTAATTGTGGTTTCCTGTATTGATTCGTTAGGAAGACTGTTCTTTTACTGCAAATCTTCATTGCAACGCTGTTCCCTTCGTACAAGGAGGGCAGGGGGTAAAAACCACTTGTCTTTGTTAAACCGGGAAGCGCAGTTACGGGTCTCCGGAGTCTCGGTTGCGTTTGCCGAACGTGCCGCGGCGGCTCGGCCGAGCCCTGGCGCGCTCCCGCCGTTAGGTGGCAGCACGAGCCCGCGGCCCGGCCCGGCCCGGGCCCGAACAGCCCCGGCCGCTGGGAAGGTGGGCATGGGCCTCCCGAGGCACTGCATCAGGCGTTATCATCCCTGCTTGGGGGCTTGATCGGTATCCGTGGCACATTTGGTTTGCCAGATGCCTTTGGCTTGGAGTTGGCACGCCTGACTCCCAAACCTTGGGGGTTTTTTGAAGGTTTGTTCGCTGTATTTGTGGTGAGCCCTGCAGAGTTCCAGGGGATCGAGGGTGGTGCTTAGTGCTGTATCTCTCCTTTTCAGCCAGAGTAGCAGAAACATTACTGCTGCTTCCCACAAAACCAATTTCTGTTCCTGCTTCTTAGCAAATAACCTGTGTCTCAGGTAGTCAGGTAGGCCAAATGCCATTTTTGCTTTTTGAGTTCTGTCCTGAGAGTAAATTTTTCTTTCACTGTCTCCTTTCCTCTTCCTGCTGCTGGCTGACTGGTAGGATGGCTCCTTCTGCACCAAGGCAGTAGTAGGTCCCTCCAGCCAGACAGGAGGGTGGTACAATATTGTACCATTGTCCTTGGGGAAAAAAGTAATCCCTAGTTATTCCAGACTGGAAATACTATTGGCTCTGTCTGTAAACGAGGGTGAAACATTACCTTTATTAAACTCAAATGGAGAGCATGTTACTGCTGGGAGAGTCTCTTTTATACTCTCCACTCTTATACTCCAGGGGTTTTTCAATATGTTTATGAACAGAGTGTCTGCTGCAAGAGAAGGAAGAAGCAGGTGCTGATTCACTGTCTCTTCTTGGCCAGGTCACAAACATAAAGAAAACATTAAAAGCTACAGCCTCGTCGTCGGCACAGGAGATGGAACAGCAGCTGGTAGAGCGAGAGTGCCCTCCACACACAGAACAAAGGCAGCCCACAAAGAAGATGTCCAAAGTCAAAGGGCTGGTCTCCAGCCGTCACTAGAACATGCCATCTAAATGTCATTCAGTTAGGAATGACAGCAGGAGGAGCAAAAAGGGCCTGCGTCTCCTTTTTCAGTGGGTTCTGGGCCAGTCCCTTCCCAGCTGGCAAGTAAAAGCCCTGTTTGAACAGCTCCCAGTTAGCAGCACCTGGCTAAGTTACACTGTGCAGCTCCTATGAGTTTTCAGGGTGTCCTTGTTCTGGTCCTGTCAAGAGGGACTTTTAAAGAAAGGGACTAACCAAAAGGGGCAGGAAAAAACCAAAATATCTGTGGACCGTTTTGCTCCCTCCCAGCTAGTTCATTGCTGCTTAACCTTGAGGAAGCTGCTCTACTGAATCAGATCATGGGAGAGCTGCTATAGCAAGCATCTGAATCCCAGGGTTGAAGTGTGGCTACCAAAGCCAGGCTGGGAGCGAGGAAGCCATCAACACAGATCTTTTCATTCCCAAAGGGAGCACAGGAAGGTTTCTAGGCCAGGAACTGCTTTACATGGAAGCCTTCAGCCTTTCTGCTACCCCTGTCTATTTTAAACTGGGGTGAAATTCACACTACCTCGCTCTGTGAAGATGAGTTCCAGTGCTGGGCTGTTTACTTAACTGTCTGTTTACTGCCCTTACTAAGCCCTTTAATCTCTCACAGATTTAAAGCACTGTTCTGCATCTCTGAGGCATCAGTACAAGGAGGAAGCAGGCTGCTCTTTCACACAGACCTTGCAGGTGGTCAGGGGCATGCTAGAAACTTCCTCCTGAATGTGATGTGACCTCCCAGAGCTGCTTGTGAGTTCTTTCCCCCACTGATACCTTCAGAGGGTAATGCATTCACTCTTCCTTGGATGCTGGTGACAGTGGGAGGAGCCTGTTTGGCATGGAGGCAGGCTGGTGGCCCAGGACCCACTGGCAGGGGTCGCAGCAGCATCCCCTTGCTGAAGCAATGGACTTGATGAGTCTTTCTGAATTTTGAACACTTTCAGGTTGTATTTTCCTCCTTTTTTTTCTTTTTTTTTTTTTTTTGTACATTGTTGTGATTCTAAAGCATTTCAGCCTTTGTTTTGTGGGGTTTTTTTTATTTGTTACAAACTAACTTCAGGTGATTTGCACCTAGTTTGGCACGGTGTGGGGTTTTTTTTAAGGGGGAAGCATTGGAACAGCAATTCATAAAAAAGTACATTTTAGAAAAAAATTAAAAATGCTGATTTAATGTCAGAGTCTGGAGTTTTGACTTGGAGGCTGTTTTAGGCTTGTTGTCCAATGGCACTTGTTCACTTAAGCATGCATTTGATTCTTGGTGTATGTTGACCGATGGTCGACTGATCTCTCTGATGCATCTGGGAGACAGGGAAGCCTCTTCACGTTTTGTCAGTAGGTCATCTTTGTCCAGATTTGTGCAGAAGGATGTGTGGCAAAGCTGGTAGCTGAGCCTAAACAGCTTTGATGTGTCCTGAGCCTAAACAGCTTTGATGCCTGGTTGTGGAAGGTTTGTAGTTGTGCTCCGAGGCCAGTCTGTTCCTTCCTTTGCATCTAGTAGAGTGCTGCTTTGTAGTTTGGCTCCTGCTTTTCACTTCTGTAAAGAGAAGCTCTTTCCCTGAGCAGGCAGGGGAGCTGTTTAAGCAGAGGACTGTGACAATGCTCCAGTCCTGCAGCCAGCTGTCACCTGCATTTGCTCGTGCAATGCACGTGCCTTCCTCTTATTGCTACCAGGGCTCTGCCATCTGCGTGTTTGCAGTCCTCAGTCACAGGACTTGCTCACTTGTGAGAGTAAATCCCTCTCCTTTTCTTCTCCTGCAGTGCAGGCACACCAGCTTTCAGTCTGGAGAGGAAGATCTAAATACCCTCCCTCCAGCTTCCTCTGGGTCAAGTCCCAGACACTTCTGATTCTGGTCAGGCTTCTGATTCTTTACCAGCTCTCTCTCCCCCTAGAAATGCAACAAGGATGTTAAGTGGATGAGCCCAGAGCACAAAGCCTTCACCAATAACTCAATGGAACTGTTTCCCAAGCAATGGCAGTATTAGCTCCTTTTTCAGCTTCTTACAGTGTTCAGCTGACAGCTTCTCAGGAGGTGCAGGTGGACCTTATGTTCCTAAGTCTGTGTGGTGGAGCTGGACTGTGTCTGTTTCTAGCCTGCAGTGTGGATAGCTGCAATGTGCTGGTCATCCAGTTCCTCACTGGATTTGACTAGTGAGGCTCTATGGTCCTCTTTCCATTTTTAATATCAGTCCTGCAAGGTGGCAGGAGGAATACAAATGCCTTTGGGAATCATTTTAGCTCCTCATCAAGCCACGGTCTGCTGGGGAAGTAGATGTGAGTTTGGTGCCCTTGGTGTTTATTCCCTGCCAGGGAGGATGTGATGGAGTCACATTAGTTTACTGAAGCTTCTTTAGCAGTTGGAAGTTTTTGAGCTCGTTCTTATGTTTTTGCTGTTCTCAAAGCCTGGCTGGGGGTGAGGATCTTATTTACGCTTTGGTTTGCATTGCCTTTGATCAGCAAAGCAGCAAGAGAGGAAATAGCACTTTGAGTAAAGAGCTGTCCCATGTCTGATGGTGACAGAGGACAGAGAAGGGATTGGTGTGTTGGAGGGGATGGAGCTGTTGGCGTATTTGGCTTTCCTGGTGTGCCAGCAAAGGGCTTGGTGCTGCAAAAGGAGGGGGATGTCTGCAATGAGCCCAGGCTGAGATGAGTCATTAACAAATGACATGCACAGAGTACCTGGGGGAGGCAAACAGCTCTGCAGCAGCTGGTTAATGAATCTGGCTTGAAGGAAAGAGTTAGAAGCTATTCCAGAAATGAAGCAGAAGGCAGAGTTGTTAACGGGCAAGGATGCAGGAGGTGCTGTGCTGTTTGAGAAGGACAGCAGATAAAGACTCTGTTGATGTCCTGTTGACTGCAGGAAAGGCAGCAACTCAGTAGAGTTGTGTGAATTAGGGGCTGAATTGTGGGCAGTTTCAAGTGGGGAGTGCCTAGGGAGCTGAACTGCTATGGGTACAAGAGGGAGGTGGAAACAGAGGCCGATTTGATGCAAGCTCCCATGGATTGCCTGTGCCTGCTGGAGGCAGCTAGCACAGCTTGTCTGAGCACTGCTGGACACTGCTCCCTGGTGCAGGGTGAGCATCCTGCCCTGCTGTGGTTTATGGCAGCAATGGGATGCTCCAGCTGCAGCTCGCTCCAAGATTGCAGCAGGACAGACTTTGAGCTATTGAACTTCTGTTTGCCTTTTCCACCCAGAGGGAGACAAAGTGGATGGAAACTGCCTTCCCTCTGCTCTTCAGGGCTTTATTGTCTAGCTTTGTGTTCTGCAGCTCCACTTGTACTAGTGCTTGTTTAATATGGAATTGAGCACTGAGCTGGAAAATGGAAGAGAGGATCTCAGCTGATTGCAGTGCTGGTAGGCTGCCCTAGCCCTAAAGCTGTGCCTCATGCTAACAAATGTCCCTGGCATTCCTGCCGAGACTCGGTTGATACCAGCTAACATCAGGCAATTCTGGAACACAATAAAGCAGCGCTGATGTCAGTCTTTAACAGAAGGAAAAAAAAAAGTTTTGGCTTAAAATTTATTCTTCTTCTTTTACTTCCCTCCTCACCTTCTTAACTAAGTTGAATGCTAACTTACTCTTGTGTTGAGAGCAGGAGGGAAAATCAGTGATGCTGACAGACCCTTCTGTCTTCAGATTTGAGACCTGTCCTGCAATCAGTCTTGTGCAGCCCCAGGAAATCCCATGGATGCTTGTGGAGCTGTTCTCACACTTGCAGGTCTCTCTCCATGGATCGTGTACAGGAGTAGGACCTGCAGAGCTGCTCTCCAGAGTGAAGCTGGAAAAAGTGAAGCTTTTGTTCTTTACAGAAGACAGTGGTGGAAAGAAGTGGCCATTTTCCCACCAGCCCTGCAAAGTGCATTTTGCTGAACATCTTTCAGTTCCTGAAGGAATGTAAAAGGATGCAGACCCCAGAAAGTGTTTTTGGTTTTAGTGTTCTTATCCTATGAGGGCAAAATGCGTTGATCCACGTGTGCCAAACAGACTTGTGCTTACTCATTGCAGGGAAGACAGAAGAAACAGTGCCCGTATCTTTGATAGCAGTATTAAAACATAAATCTCATGGGCAAACCAGACTTCTCCTAAACTTTCAGTTCTGTGTGGGGTTATATGAGTTCAGCTGAGCTAGAAACCACACAAAGCCCACCCCTGCACAGTAAAACAGCCCAGACTTGTGCATTTGTGGGGCTGTTGGTGCTGGGGATTCCTATTTTTGGTCTGAGCCTGTTGCAAACTGCAATGCAGAAAAACAGCCTTGCTCTTTATTATTCTAAATAATGGGGAAATGGAGAAATCTAAGAGCCTGCCCAACTAACACAGTAGACCCAGATAGCCCTATCTTAGGGACCTGATTTCCTGTAGTTTTTTTCCACCCCATTAAGTCCTCTATAACACCTGACCTAACGCAAGGGAACCAAAACCTGAGTCTGCACAGCATATTTTTGTGTAATCTGAAAGAGAGTAACCCAGGGCCATCAAGAAAGGTAAATTAAAGTTTAGAGAGATCTCAGTTCCTACTTGTAATCTCAATCTTGTATTCTTAATATGGAATTTTAGCCTGACAGTCTGATTGAATTTCTCGGCAGAGTTTTTAGGAATATGTCATTGTTTCATTCTGCTCCATGACGAAGGTCCGTGTCTCTCAGGGACTGTTGACATTTTGCTGATAGCTCCTCAAGTTTGGCCCTCCCACAGAGCTCCCAGAGGTAAGTGATTGTAAAGAGAGTGTGTGTTTACCCCCTAGCCTGGGCTGACCCTGCCTCTTGGCATCCCTGTGGTGCTACTCCCCTCTCCAGTGGGTCAGCCAGGCAAAGGAATGGGCAGCACTTTTTCTTCCTGTCTGAATCTACAGGCACGGAGGCTTCTTTGTGCAGTGTGTGCATCTCATGACATGCCCTACTGCAAACTGCCTCAGTGTGGTAGCTGTGACCACAGTTTTTTCTTGTTGATAGGAAGAGATGTCCCTGCTCTAGTGAATATGCATACATACCCACTGGAAATTCCAGGCAGTAATGGGATGCCACAAGGTCATTTAACAGTCCTCACATATATATTTCCCCACAGCACACAAAATAATTCGTGCCAGTAGTCCTTGCTTGCTCTAATTCTAGTAGGAGATGGCACACACTTCCACATCTCCAGATCTCCAAAGAGCCTTTGGAATCTGTATCATTTGGGTGTTTTTGAAATGTTTTTGAAAGTCACACATGATAGCTCTGTGTTTCCATAAGAGCTGATTGGGGTGGGTAAGCAAAGCCTCATTCCATCAGGGATCAGCCTCATTGTGAGTATTTGGGGCTTGTCTGACCATAGGCTGTATTTTCATGGGTATGAGGTTTGCAAGTAGTGTTCTCCTGCCCTCCAGATTCTTCCCAAAGATGCTGTTTATCTCACCAGCCCTCATGTTCCACTCACGGTCTCATGATCAGCACAGTCCTAAGGCTGCTCTGTGCTGATGCAGTAAGTAACGTCTCGGTGTTTCATTGTCACCTTCGCAGCTGTTAGAGAGCACCAGTTCCTTCAGGATCACCTGCCAGCTGTGATGCTGTACTTTTTACATCACGACTCGGAGATGACACCTCTCCTTGCTGGCAGACAAGCCAGGTGGGTAGGCATTGCTCCTCAGAGCTGTTCTGCATCTCAGGAGGTGCAGGCTGTAGCCTGGCTTAGCATAAAGGAAATCAAGGACAAGGACAGTGTTGTAAATAAGGGGCAAAGCACAGAACTGTGTCCTCTTCCAGCTCTGCTGCAGCTGCAGAGAGCAACCTTGGGCAGATCAGTTCCTCTGCAGCTGCATTTCCCAGGACAGCCTTGCTCCTACCTGCTGACTTGTGACAGGGTTTTGGTCTCCTGGCTGGGCAGAGGTTGGTTGTGATGGAGTTGAAGATGTGTGTGTGTGGTAGGGGGGAAATCTTAACACCTTTTAAGCTTTTCCAGGAATCGTCTTCATTTTAAATAGCACACCCTTCTTTTCCCCTGATTCAGATAAGGTGGTCCATTGTGGGACTATCAGCCTGGAATATTATGGGTAATATACCAGGTTAATTATGGAGGGGGCAGGAAAAATAGCCTGTGCAGTTTTCAACAATATCAAAGGGATGCTACCTAATGATTTTCCTATTAGCTCTTTTCCCATCCTGCCAGAGTCGCTGCAGAAGTGTCATTTACAAAGGCAGTTTGCAACTCATTACCCTGGATTTTCACTGTAGTTCTGCTCCAGAGAGCGTGGGCTTTTGCTGCGTGCCCCAACCTAATGAATTGCCTGATTCAGTTAGTGCTGCCATCCCTCCTGACAAGGTTAGTTGCTGACTGACAGGAAGGGGCCTGAATTCAATTCCCTTCTTGTTTTTAACTCATGCTTGTGTCAGGTGCAGGCTCCCTCTGGAAGTCGCCCTGTGATCCCTTCCCTTTGTTTTTCTGCCTTCTGAGGGAAGCAGCCCATGCTTGGAGAAGTCATGGAGCAAGTGGCAGGGGCATGTTTGTTGCTGCCCCTGGCAGTCCCTGCTCCATGCCTGAAGTCCCTTTCCAGATGGAAAATTCCTTTGCTCTCTTGCTTTGGGACTCCAGGTTTCTCTTTTTCTTCATTGCTTTGGGATTTGCTGTCACCAGAGCTGGGCTTTGTAACCCTTCAGCAATAAGTACCTGGGAAGAGTTGCATGAATGGTACCAGGGAAAAACATGGAATATGGGCTGGGGGAACAGAACAGATTTCCCACAACATTAGAAGACAACAGTGCCCCTGCTGTGAGTGTTCCAACGTCTGCTCCAACCTGTTTGGGCTTTGCCAGGCACTTGTACTACAGCACTGGAGGAAGCTCTTTGTCCTTTTCCACTAGATTTTTCAGGCTGGGGGCTGATGGCTCAACTCCTGCTAGGAATTGCTCCTGGAGAGGAGAAATCAAGGCTGTTTCTATGTCATGTCACAAGTGTTCCCATTTGGAAACTGAATTGGCTACTCCTCATCCAGCTGGTAGTGCAGAAAATGTGTAGGTTCCATGAGTGCTAATTTGACCTGAGTATGGACAGGGAACCCTGGGACTCCTTCTCCCCTCACTTCCAGGTGTGTGTACACACCTCTGCTAAAGGCCATTCTCTGAGACTATGGTTGAGATATCAGATGCCACCTCCTGAGGCTGCACCTTGCATCCAGAACAACTATTGTTCACTTATGCTGTCTAGGCTGGGATGTAGCAGGGGAGTTTCCCAGGGCTGGCCATGGATCCTTTCATGGGATGTTGTAAGGATCTGACCTAGCTGGCCATCAGGGGAGGCAGTGATGCGAGATGAGTTTGGTTTTGCTGCATAAGATGCCTCCTTGCCTCTTAATCACATTCCTGTGGCCCCTCTTTCTTGCTGCCCTTGTTTTCTACTGAGCCCCTGTCAGAGACCCAGTTGTGGCCATTTCGGGTGATTGCTGTGTTCTAATGAGCCATTTCTGATTTCCATTCTTGCTTGTCCAGTGAAGCAGGAAGGTGCTCATCACTGCTGAGAACTGACCTCTGCTGGCAGTGCCACTCTCTGCCTGTCAGACCCACTGCTCTGGCTGTGCCACGGAGGGGCTGAGGTTGAGTGGATCTGAGCTTTCCTGAGTGTTCTTTCGCCCCTGAGTGCTGCCTTCTCTCTTGCACATCATCACCACACATGGGCACAATATTCCCATCCTGCTGGTGGGCATCCACATCCTAAGGGACAGGTGGCTCCCTGGTCAGACCAGAAGCAGGAAAGTGAGGAACCAAGCTGTTATCCTCTCCCTCTGCACCAGGAGCTGTAGCTCTTGATTGCTCTTCTCTGCCGAGCTAATGGCCTTTTGCTGTACAGCTTTGCCCTTTTCCTTGGGCTTGCTTTTTCCCAGGAAGCCCAGTGGATGGAAGGGACCCATGCTGTGGGCTGTGCTTTTATTCTTGGACAGTGCTGCCGAGGAGAAACAGGAATCCAGACTGTACATGACCCCAGGCTGTGATCTTCAATCTCCCAATCTTATCTCAGGTTCTGCCTCACTAATGTGGTAAAATTGTGTGGATTGAATTCCTGAGGCTGAGTCCCTGCTGCTGTGTTGAGGACAGCCCCTCTGTCATTAGGCAGGTGGTTTTATTTCAGCTCTGGCTTGAAGCAAAAAGCCAAAACTGGAAGGAGAATTGTCTCCACCTTGGTCCCAGCATGTCACTCTATCATGGTCACTACTCTGGCTTCATGCTCAAGGACCAGGACTCTGAGCAGGACCTGCAGCACCACCTTCTTACACCTCTGTTCAGACCTGGCTGTGCAAGGTCTGCACAGTGAGCGATTCCTGTTGTCCTGTGTAGGTTTCCTGGGTGACAGCGGACAGTCCCCTTTAATGGGCATCTCTTTAGGAGCTCCTGATACAGCCCCTCCTTCCCTCTAAAGATGTGTGGAGCTGGAAGGGTGACCTTCACAGGTGTATTTGCCTTACAGAGCCCTGACAGTAGGTTGCCATTCCCTATGGGAGCTGCCACTTGCCCATACTGCCTCCCTCCCTGCCAGGGTCTTGATTTTGTTCCCCATAGGCAACATGTTGTGTGATCCATCAGCTGCTGCTCCCCGTCCAGCTGGGTCCTGTGGGCACTGCGAGGTGGGTACCTGTCTCTGACGGAGGCCGTGCTCATGCGAGGTCAGAAACGTCCCCTGTGCGCTCCTAACCTGATGATTGAGCTGTCGGGTGTCGGGATGAATCCTCTTGTTCTGTGCACCCAGTGTTCTGTCAGAGCTGGGGTGAGTCTGGCTGGAGGTTTCTATGGTTTCCTGGTGGTTGCTAAGGAAAAGGATCGCTTTGCCTCTGGGTCTTGGTGACTTTCTCTTTGCCCTGTCCTAGGCACCAGAGCCCAGCAGAACATAATGCTCGTTGTTTCCCAGCCCACTACAATGGCCAGGGCATAATTTGTGACTCCTGTCACGGCTGGGCTGGGCGCCTGCCACTCTCTTTTTTTCTAAGGCCTCTTTGAAGAATGAGACCAAAGAGCCTTCAAGCAGGAGTTTGTGTGTTTACTGCACTCCCCACCCCCTCACTTGCTGTTTCCTTTAGAGCTCCAAGTCATTTTAACGATTTATTTCATGCACTTTACATAGCAAGAAGCTTTAGCAACAGCTGTGTCTATGAATCCTTACCAGGCAGCTCTCGGTATATTTTGGTCTGCCTACGTATGGTCCCTGGCTCAGTTAAATAAATTCTCTGCTGGAGGAAGGGACTTTACAGCTTAGTGGCAAAGGGCTGGCGGATGGGAATATCAACAAGACACTTAGTGAGCCACTGGATCCTGGAATGGCAGTGCCTCTGGCACAAAGCTCTGCTCCCACCAGCGCAGCTGGGGGCCAGGTCCAGCGCAGGCTCTTTGTTGCTGTCAGCAGGGACGGCGTCTCCATCCAGCACCAGTGATAGAACTGCAGTTATGGGCTGAAGCTTGGGCTGGAAGTGGTTAAAGCACGTCTGGGACAGATGCTGCCCTTGTCACGCTGCTGTCGATCCAGGGCTCGGCTGTTAACCATGGTGGGCTCATTTCCATGGGTGCCATTTGGGATCTGGGCATAGAGGTGCTGCCCAAGGCTGTGTGCTCGCAGGGAGCTCAGCTGGGGTCTGCAGAGTCTTACAGCGCCAGGCAGGATTCAGTCCATCAGAGCATCACAGGATTGGGCACAAGTTTACTTTTGCATATGGGATCAAAGCTTAAAATATCAGCTGGCCTTTCTCTCACTCCTGACTTTTCTAAAACATCTGAACAATTTCTTCCTTAGCTCTGTTAAAATCAATCAATCTGACATTGAAATTGTATGTGAATTTGATAAATAAAGACAGGTTACAAAATGCCACACGGAATGATTTTTTTTTAAAGTTTTTCAACTACTTAGGACAAAAAATGTTACAATGCTTGACTTTTCATTTAGTTACATAAATAATTTTTTTTTATAAATATCTCTTTATAAACAATATATAAATAGCTTTACAACATAAATACATTTATGCATGACATGAATTTACAAACAGCAATGTTATACAGCTGGCTTCATCAGTCTCTTGGAAAAGCACTGTCCCTTGTCTCGGTGAGTGTTTGTATATATAATATATATAAGATAGAGAGCACTTGTTAAAAAAATAACAAAACCAAAACAGTTGGTGCCATGACTCCTCGTACCAAAAAGAAAAACACAACCACATCTTTTGTCCATTCCAAGGGGGTCTCTGCTTCTCTAGGTGGTGCCTGGGGGATGGCTGTGCCTGGCTGTGCGTGGTAGGAAAAAGTGGACTACGGATTCAAAGGCCTGCAAGGAACAAGAACGAAGTGCCCATTAGTACTTGCCATGCAGCACCCCTTACCTATCCCCAGCCAAAACCCCTGCCAAAGTATCCGTGGCCTGGGGCTGGGGGATGCTGGACTCAGCAGAAGCCATCCCTGAGCTTTTTGCTTGTGCTAAAGCAAGGAAGGAAGTGCACCCTGTTCTTTCTGGCTAGTGTTCAGGGGAGAGGCTGAGAGAAGCTGCTGCTCCTCCTGCCCTTCTGTCTATTAGAGTTTTTTCCTTCTTCTGATGGGTTTAGTGAGAGAGAAGGAGTGTGACCTGCCTACATGGGCGTGTTACTCTTGGAGCCCTGAGCTAGCAATACTTCGCAATATTGAGGAGTCTCTAAATGAGGGAAGAGAGAAACAGCACCCATCCCTCCAGGACAGGTCACAGACCAGCACTGGCATCCTGTAGGCACCTTTGGGTTGTGCTACTCCTATCGCCCTGCAGTGCAGCAGGATGCTGGATCCAGTCCCCTCTGTGCCCAGTTATGTTACTGCAGAGCTGTGCCATAGGAAGAGGAGCAAGTGGCCTGGGCTGCAGTGGTAAGTGCTTGCCGAAGTGTGAGTTCATCTGTGTGTGTCCTGCTGGCAGGGCCAGGCCAGAACTGTGCCTCACTGTCCCCAGTAACCGCAGGGAGACCTGGCAGGGGAGGCACTTCCATGTTTTTTCCAAACCCATCACTTCGGGGAAGCGACACTCCTTCACCCATTGGTTGCTACAAAGTGGCTGTGAAGTGCCGTGGGAAGAACTTCCCCTGGCGTCCTGTAACTTGCTCTGATACAAAGCTGCAGTTAGGAAAGTGCTTCTCATGGCTGTCACCACACCTAGAAATAACCTGGGGAACTTATGTGTTGTTCTCCTGAAATCAAAACCACTGGAGCATGGCTGAGACAGGAGCCTCCGTAACTCCAACTGCAGGCACACAGGGGCTACCCTGCCCTCCTTACACCTATCCATAGGTCACCTAAGTGTGTCAAGCAGAGGGGGCAGCTAGGAGCATGTGGCTGCACCAGAGCTCCTCCTGCATCCTCCCCGGAGCCTACGGGTCTAGCTCAAATTAGGGGGAATCCAGTTTGAGCTGCTGCGGGAGCAGCTGGGCTCTCTGACCCCTCTGCAGGGCAAGGCAGCGGGAGGGCCGATGGATTCCAGACGGGAATATAATAAAGCCAACTTTGGGGTCCTCCTCTTTGCCCGCCCAGCAAAGCCGGAGCTTGCGAGGCTCAGCGGATGAACACCTGCAGTCCCGTCCGCTGGCATCTCGCCTTCGCAGAGCGGCGCATCTTCCGCATGCCCCGCGGTACCGGAGCGCAGCCCCCGGCCCCATCCCGGCCGCGTCCCGGTCCCGGCCCGGCCCGGCCGCGCACTCACCGCCAGGGGTCCCTCAGCATCCGAGGCCGCTCATGGCGCCGATGCGATCCAGCTTGAGCCCGAAGCAGCCCTTGCCCAGGCCCTTCTTGTGGAGGCCCTTGTGGCGGCGGCCCGGCGGGTCCTGCAGCAGCCGCGCCCAGCCCGCCCGCGGCCGCGCCTCGGCCCGCGCCTCCCGCGCCTCCCGCGGGCCCGAGCCGCCGCCGCCGCCGCTCCGCTCCTTCTCCCGCTCTTTCTCCCGCTCCGCCGCCTCGGGCGGACCCGCCGCCGCCGCCGCCGCTGCCGCCGCCGACCCGCGGGAGGCCTGTGGGGAGGAGAAGGTCAGAGCGCCGCCGTCCCCAGCGATCCCCATCAGTGCTGGGGACGCGCAGAAGGGTCTGTGCTTCCCCCTGCGATGCAAACTCGCGATTGGGTCTGTGCCCGGCAGGGCAGTCCATCACCCCGCGGCTGTGCCCAGAGCATCTTCTCCCCTCCCTAAATCTGTGCTCCCTTCCCTGTGGTCAGAGCATCCCCCTGACCCACACCATCTTCCTGCCCTGGTCACTGCATATCCACACTGCCCCTCCAAGGGTGCTGCACACCTCAGCTGTGCTGCTGTCACTATCCTGTCCTCCCATTCCGTCCCCTCCTCCCCCCCACCCAAAATCTGAAGGGGCCTGAAAGCTGGCAGGTTCTTTCCTTTCAGACCCCTTCAGTCACTGCATCCCTCACCAGTTTACAGACCTCGTCAGATTATGGGGAGGGGTCCTGCCCCACAGTTCCCCAAGAACCACTGCCTTGCAGACTGTCCCCAGCAGTGGTGGGGAGATCAGGGATCCTCCTCCCTGCTGCTCCCTCCCCTAGTTAATGCTCTCTGTGTCCTCCCAATCCTCCAATTCTGACCCACAATTAGAGGGACACACCTCCTTCCTTACTGTTCCCCCATCTCCCAGGCCTTCCATCCCTCTCCCTGCTCAGAGCTGCTGCCCACCAAGCCCTAGAAATGTTCATCCTCATTCATTTTCCCAACTTCCCCCTGTATCAACACTTTTTCTTCAGCCTGATCCCCAGTGCCTTACAGGGACACCGGACCCCTATCCCATTGCTGCCCTGGGGCACTCGTCAGACAGTGTCCCCATTTCTGTGCCCAGACCACCACCCAGTGTCGGTGGCCTCGGGCACATCCCTCGTCCTCAGCATCTCGGAACAACCAGGTCCCTGGGACACTCTCATTTGGGGCGCCCTTCCCCATGGGACACGCGGGGAGGGGACACCCACCTCTGTGCCCCTGCCCGGCCTGTTTGGCCAGGAGTGCCCGGAGGGCTCTGGTCTCGCACCCTGTCCCACCGTGCACCTGCTGCCTGCCCCGCTCCGGCTCTGCTCCCCCTCCCCGTGCCCGGCACAGAGGGGGCTCCAGGGTGACTCCGGGAGCACACTGCCACCCTCCCCTGCCGCGATCCCGCGGGCTGCGGGGCACACCGCGTCCCGCTCCAGCCTCTGCTTTGGGGCGGATGTCCCCGGACGTTCGGGACAGCCTGGAGAAGCAGGGAGTCCCCCCTTGCAGTCAAACAGCCCATGCGGAGAGAAGAACCCCTCTTTGCACTGACTCCGGCACCCCACAGGCACCCCGCGTTTCCCCCTGTGCCGTTAGGACTCTGAGCGGGACCGGGAGAGGAGGAAGAGCCGGAGAAAGCTCCAGCCGTACCTTCTGTGGGAGCTGAGACGCCGGCTTCGCCTCCAGCCTGACGGAGAGCAGCGCGAGTAAAAGTCCACCAGCCAGCAAGGGTGAGATCTGCATCCTGCGGGGCCGAGCGGCAGGGGGGTCGGGGGGGCAGCGGGGAGCCGAGGGCAGCCCCGCGGAGAGGACGGGACCGGCGGGAGTCAAAGTTCAGAGCGGAGCCCCGAGGTCCCTCCTGCCGCCTGCGAAGTGCCGAGCTAGTGAACTTGGGCTGCTTTCTGCTTCATTCATTTTATAACCCAACCTGCTCGGTGATGTCATCTAAATACCCAGGTCCAACCCGGTCTGCACTCCACAATAGCAGGAATTTAAAGGGGGGGTGGTGGTATCCCCTCTCCTCTGGCAGTAACAAATGACACAAGACAACCAGCTCCGGGAGCTGGAGACCCGAAAGGGAAAGCGGGGGGCATTTGGCTTGATGCCTCCGCTCCCCCCCAAACTCCCCCGGCCCCCCTGCAAGCTGTCTGCCCTCCCCTTGCCGCTGCCCCTCCGCTGCCCGCACTGCCCTGCTGACCTCCCGCGGAAGGACACGGGCCAGGCGGGGGGGTGGTCCCGGTGTGGGATTCATCCCAAAAGACAGGATTAAGCGCAAAAAGAACCTTTTTTTTTTTCTTTTTTTTTTTTTTTTTTTTTTTTTTTCCCACATCCAGGATTAAATCAGAAACTGTGCCTCCCAGGTCCCTGCTTGGCAGGAGCAGGGCCACTGCCCTCCGTGACAGGGATGTGGGGGACACAAAGGGATGGAGGGGGCAGTGGTGCTTCTTGAGGGCACCCAAATGGGTCTCTTGGATTGGGGCGCTGACCTGCTCCCTCTGCTTCTGGGAAAATCGTGATGGTGTTCCTGGCCCTGGAGATGGGGCTTTTCAAGCACGCTGGGGATGTCCTCTGCAGGGCACAGTCAGTGTCACAGGGTCCCTTGTGGGGACAGGACCTCACTGGCTGACCCACGTTCAGCCTGGCCTCCCTCTGACCTGCTCCCAGAGCTGGAGGGTACAGGAGAAAGGTGTGATCCTGGGATTAACCCCAGTGGATCACAGGGCCTCTGAGGAGACCCCTTGCTCTCAGCCTTCCCCTTCCCTGGCTGGCAGGGCAGGATTTGTGCCTCTGTTGCTGCTGGGGCTGGCACCAGGCAACTCTGGAGCACTGCTGGCTTTTTGCTGATGGAGCTGAGCACGTCCCTGGCCCTCTGTCCAGGGCAGATTCTCTTATTAGCATGAGGGCAGAGGAAAGACACCCCTTTCTTTGCAGGAGCATCCAGGACTGAACTGCATTAAGCTGGGTTTGCACTCCAAATCCCTTCCCTGAGACCAGAGAAACATTCTCTGCTCTTGCCCCTGTCCCTGGAATCTGTTTCAGTCTGGTCCTTTCCTCCTGCTCTGTATCCTGGACTTTCTGGGCTCTGGTGCTCCACAAATCTCTGGGAAGCTGCCCCTGCTGGGGGACCATGGCTCTTTGGGGGGCTGTAGTATCCCTGCTCAGGAGCAGGGAGATGTTTCCTCCTCCACAGCCTGGGCTACTGGGCACGGGACGCTTCAAACGAGATTGGCTTTTCAGCTCCATGTGAACGGGAGCTGGAAGGAGAAGGTCTCGGTGTTTTTTCCATTGTGCCTGCCAGGTGGAGACAACTTGGACTTTTTTGAGTGTGAAGCTGTGCTTGGGCATTTGTCTGCGTGCAGGCAGAGCGAAGTGATGGAGTCGGGATTAGAGCCGACCCCGGGTGCCAGAGAGCCGTGGGTGCAGGCAAGGAGCAGAGAGAGGCCCCTTCTCTCGGGGTTCAGTCCTTGTCCCACACAAAGTGTAGCTGGAATGCTGCAGCCAGCCTCACCAGGGCACAAGGAATGCGGGGGTCTGCACCACTACCCCCATCAGCAAGGCTTCTGCAGGGGAAAGAGGAGCAGCAGCTGAGCCCTGGCTCTCCACAGGATAAGAGCTGACATCTCTCCAGGGATGTCGGGGTGCCCGAGGCCACCAGCAGCTCAGCACCCCCCACAGAATCCCCGTTCTGGTTGTGCTGGCTCCTGCCCTGGTGCTGTGGGCAGCCTGTCCCGTGGCTTCTCCCGGTGGATCCAGGATGGGGAAGGAGACAAGCGATGGCTGCAGAGAAATGTCACAGTGTGGGCACGAAGGGCCACCTCGCTTGCCACCAGCCCCCCTGGCACGCTGCAGTTCGTGGGGCCGGTACCGGAGCGGCTGCAGCTGCCCCTCGCCCCGGGGGATCAGAGCATCGCCACGATTGCCACAGGGCGGTCAGGTCTCAGCCAGTGCCTGCCGCAGGAGGCTGTCCCTGCCCTCGGCTCTCACCAGCGTGGTTTTCATTAGTGTGTTTTCTTTGTCACACTGTGCAGAGCCTCGGGTTTGGGGGGGGGAGGGGGGGGCTGTGCTTTATAAATCCAATTAGTCTTGTTATTCAAATTACTCTGCCGAAGTCAGAGCCGGGCGCACACAAAGATTTAACTCAAACCAGATCGGATCCACTGGGGTGGCAAAAGCTCAGAGCTGGAGCAGGGGTGTGCAGGAAGGGGTTAAGAGTGAGAAACCCTTTTGTTTGGTGGGATGGGGGCCTGAAAGCTTTTAACCCTTAAAGGGATGGACCTTCATTAGTGCACAGCCCTGTGGGATGATCACCCAGGATGAGAACTGGCAGACTCAAGGCATGTGTGGAAAATGAGAAGTGCAGAGATAGGGCTGGGCTCACAGGGGTCTTCCCCAGGCACTGGAGAGCAAAGAGGATCCTGCACAGCTGCACAAGGAGGGATGGAGACCTGTGGGGTGGGCTGGAGGGGGTGACACCCCTCCCTATTGCACCCCGGGGCCCAAAGAGAGCCAGGAGGAGAGAGGGGCACCAGGGCTGGCCTGTCCCTGAGAAAAACCAGCATCAAACCTGGATTATGGGGAATGGGCTGTCGTGGAGATGCTGCCGAATCTTGGCAAAATGGGGTGAGCCCTGAGTATGGGGAGTTTTGGTGTGTAGGGAGAGGGGAAGGGGGCAGAGACTGTGTTGTGTGTGAGAGAGAGGACACACGTCCCCTGTCTGAGGATGGAGAGGGATTCATCAAAGTGTGACCAGTGCCAGCATGATTTGGAGAGTGGGAGGAGATGGGTCATGGGGATATGTGTGACAGCAGCATGGGGTGTTCTGGCCCCATCACAAGCAAGGGGTGAGCCATGCCAGCACTGAGGGCAGCAGTGGGGCCCTGGCTCTCCTGGCTGAAATTAGGAGCCAGGCTCCAGGCACCTTCCAGAGGATGATGTCAAGAAAGTTCACAGGATAGAATGTGGACTCAAGTCTGAAGTAAGCTGCTACTGTAGCAGTGAACAGCCAGTGATTCATCTCCTTTTTCTTCAACTCACTTATCCTTAGGGAGCATGTTTCTTATTGATTTGGGAAATCACAGGCCAGATTTATGTCTCTTCTGCTGCCTTGTGCCAGGAGAGCATTTCCTGCTCAAGAGATGGATAACCCTAGGATGAGGAGTTCCAGCTGATGCCATGTGAAAGCCAATCATCCCTTTGCAGAAAGAGACATCAGAAGGCTGAGTGCATGTGATGGTGATGCCAGAGGGGCTGATGTTTCCCCATAACCAGTGGCCAACTCAAGGAGTTTTTGGTTAAGAACCATCCCAGGTGGTGGGATGGAGGAGGTACAAAGATGGAGCAGCTATTAGGATCAGGGAGCTACTTGCCCTCCAGCACAGCCACCAACCACCAGTCCTCAGGAATATGATGTGTGCTGTGTTCACCAAGAGAATGTCACCAAGGGTTTGATGTGCTGAAACAGGAGTTTTTTACAGTTGGATTTCTTTCTTTTACAGGTTTTGGAGTACCTCTATAGGGGTCTGGTGATAGCCAGCTCAGTGAGAAGCAGTTTGAAGAGAGATTTCAATTTTCATTATTGGGATGGATGAGCAGCCTCTGGTGCATGCAGGGGACTGTGTGGTCCCACCTCTGTGATGATGTGCCTCCTGAGGATGCTTTAAAGAAAGGTTTTCTGGGGAATAACTCTGTAGCCCCTGAGGCAGGGGCCTGGCAGATCAGAACTGGCCATTTCTAACTCCCAGCCCCAGCAGCCACCAGGTTGTTATGGGGTGGCTCCACACACTGAGGTGTGATGCTCCTGGGGTGCTGTCTGAAACCCTGATGGAGATTTTGGCCTGTTTGAACATCCCTGGTGTTTGTTTTGGATGCTGCTGCTGCTGAATGAGGCATTACAGGAAACACTTCGGGATTTTGCACTTTCCCCTGTCTCCTTTGGGTCTGGAAGAGGGCTCTGGCTGAGGATACAGGCATGGCCAATATCCCCTTTCCCCAAACTGGGATGGTGGTGGAGAGACAGCCCACAGAGCTGCCCTGATGGGGCAGGCAAGAATGGGGCTGCATGTGCTGCAAGGGTTAGGGGCTTCTCTGTCCCCTCCCAAAATTTCCCAGAGTGGCAAAGCTGAGGAGAAAAGACAAGCCCCGGGCAGAGACTCACAGGACTTTGCTAGTGAAGTGCTGATATTCTCACAGGCACAGTGGTTTTCTTTCCCTCAGGGCTTTGTCTTTTGGGATTCACCATTTCTCCTGGGCTTCCTAGGATGCTACAGTCTCCTCCTGACATTCTGGGTGTTTTTCCAGGGCTACAATGGGATATCTGTGCTCTGGAGCTGGGATGCCTCACTGCTCTGGTGGGAGCAGGAACACAATGTCTCAGGGTTTTGTTGAATGTTAATAAAATGAAGCAATTCTAATGCACGGGTGACTCCACACCACAAGCCTCCCTCTGCATCAGTCCTCAGAGGACATGAATTGCACTGCCTCCAGCTCCTGGCAGCCTCAGGTCTGCAGCTGATGTAGGGGCAGGTTGTTGGGATTTTCCAAGCTAAATGCCACAGAAATCTTTGTCCTCCTTTTTGAAGATGCCTTTCCCCAGAAATGGGGGTCTGGCAGTGTTTCACCCACAGTTTTGGGGTTCCAACATCATCCCAGCTTGTTGATTTTGGCACTGAGCATCCCTTTGGGAATAGGAACTGCCCAAAGGGGTGATGGCCCAGAAAGGCCACAGGATGAGTTACTGATATCAC